AAATAAAACTTTTAATCCCTCAAATTTACCTTATTTATTGATTTGATCTTTCAAGTTTAATTTTAATTGATTTAGTTTCTTATATTTTCTTAAATTATCATGCTATCCATTTGAGTTTTAAAACACAAATTTACTTTCAAATTAATCTAATATACAAAGTATTTTGATAACTTTGAATGCCTATGCATTTTTTTTTGGGAATTGCTCACATATATTCTTCTATTGGAAGCAATCTTATTTGAAGTATGATCAGACATTAAATATGAGCAACCCTTCTTATGAAGATTTAAACGTTCGTTGTAGGGCTATTTTTGGAGGAAAAGGAGTTGATCCTATTGAAATTAACATGTTGGTGGATTATTCCTTGAATGAGTATGCTAGCTTAGGAGTTGATTGCAGTAGAGAACGTGTTCATAGAAGTGTAAAGCAACAAATGACTTGGAAACTGCCTTATAAAGGAGAAGTGAAGATTAACGTAGACGTTTAATAGTAAGAATGGAATTGGAGGTATTAGTGTGATTTGTCTTGATGATATGGGGAATTTTTTAAAAGGCACTTGTGAGAAAGTTGTTGGTACTTTTGCTTTAATGGTTGAAGCTCTGGGTTTTAGATGGGCTTTGGACTTAATTGTTAATTTTGGGAATGTTTGTGTGTGTGTGGAAGGTGATTGTAAAATTTTGTTTAGAGCTGTAGAATGTAGGAATTTTCAGAGTTGTAAATGGACATATTTGGGTATTATCCAGGATATATGAGTCCTTAATAAAGAATTGTTGTCTATCTCTTATTCAAAGAGATTGCAAAAAGGCTACGGATTTCTTTGCAATTGAGGCTAAAAAGATGATAGATCCTCTTGGTGTGGTGCTGTTACTTCCATTTTTCTTGGCTTATTTGTTGTTTCTTGATAGAGGAAGGGCTTTTGATCTCTCTGATTGACCTTTTAATAATTGTTTTATTCGTATTGATATTGGTTGAATTGTTTTGACTGTCCTATTTTTTTTCCTTTTCTTTGGTAAACTATGTGCTAGTTTGTATTTTAGATTTCTTTTAGGCATCGGCTATTAGCAAGTGTAACTGTTTTTTTTTTTAATAAAATTGGTTTCTTTTTTGGCAGAAAAAAAAACCCTTAGTTGGATGTGCTTTGATTAGTTAGCATGCATATGTGGTTAAATAAAAATTAGTTCTCAAATTAGTTTATTTTTTGTCAATCAAATTATTTATGTTGTGTTTTGTTCTTTTACTTTTAAAATTTTTGAGTTTGCTTTTTTTCCCCTAACCAAATAACCGCACTTCTTTTTGTTAATTTATATAACTTGTAGTTGTCATTAATATTCTATTATATGTTTCAGCAGATTTTATCAATGTTAATTTTTATTGAAATAATAAAGATCAAATCAATAATCAAGAAAAAATTAATGGATCAAACTGATAATTGAAACAAATTTAAAGGACTAAATTAATAAAAATTAAATTTGAGGATCTAAATTGATAATAGAGACAAACTTAAAAAATTAAAAGTTTTATTATCCTTTCAATTTCAATATTTATAGGAAGATGAGATCTATCGATATTTAATTTTTTTATATGAGATTTATATGTAATTTTTTTTTAAATATAAGTGATATTGTGATCTTTTCACTTACAGAAGAAAATTCACTTCCACTTTTTTTTTTTTGGCTTAATTTTCACTGGTCATCCTTTACTTTGTAAAAACGTGATGGATTTGAACAAACAGAACATGGAGTGTCCGTCCCTCAGTTTGTTTGCCCCTTTTTTTAAGGGTTTTGTTTTCTTTGTATTATTCCCCCAAAAAAAAAAATGTGTGAGCATGAATATAATTGTCAATATTACAAAGCAAACCAAGCCACGAAACATATTTTTGATCTACAAAAATCATATCGGTTAATTACGCTCACTAACCTGTTAGATGGGCTATTTATATGGTTATCATAATCAAGATTTTAGTAAAAAAACACATAAATATATTCAGGAGATATGATATAATCCTTCAAATCAAAGAATATTATCATTCATCATGAAAAAATATATATTTAGATTATTTGCAATGTGGAAAATCATCAAAACCAGATATCTTCTTTATGTAGTTTACTAAATGGATAATAATCTTTTTTAAAAGATGTACTTTTTTTTATAAATTGAAATATAGTTAAAATATAAGGAGAAATATTAAATGAACAAAAACCAGATTGATCTAATTAAAATATAAGGGGAAATATTAAATGAACAAGAATAAAATTGCAACACTGAAACTATAAAAGAAATTGAAATATTGAGAAAGAAAGATTGTATGAAGCCGTTAAAAAGTTACATTATTTAAATGCTGTGAATAATGCAATTAAATATATATTTTATATTAAATTCAAAAGTTAAATATTGGGCAATAAAAAAATTTGGGAAAAATAACCATTTTGCATAAGGTCAAAAGTTTACTGGTGAAAAAAAATCTTACTGAAAGAGTTATTTTCAACCAAGCCTTAACAATATTTAAATTTAATTCAATTTATCAATGTTAGAGCCAATAATTTGATCAATCTCAATGAATTATCTCAAAAAAGTCTAAAAAATTATAAAATCAAGCTTAATAAAGTAATGTTTTTTAATGTTTGGTAGCTCAAATAGGCATGAATACTTGAATAAAAAATATTACATTTTTAAAAATATATTAAATATTAATTAATTTTTTAAATTTTAGACCATTTTATACTTATAATATATATAATAATAGATATTTTATAAAAAAAATATATTGTCATATTTTTTTATTTTAAATCCATAAAATACCTCAAACTAATATTTAAAATGTATTTTATTATTATTTTTAAATTTTAATGCTTACATATTTTTTTAAAAAAGTTTGAGCCTTCTATATTATTAAAGTGTTCAAAAAATATGTTTCATATTTTTTATAAAATATAAATAATTAATTTAAAATAAAAAATTAAATTCTAGAATGATGTCTAAAGTACTTAGACTGTATCATCAATCAATATTTAATTTACACTGGAATTACTTGGGCTTGAGGGACCTAAGAGTGGGCTCCCAACGTTCTCGCTTATTGGAGGCACAAGCTAATATGGGTCCCTTAAAATGGTTCCAAGAGCTTTGTTTATATTTTGTCCCCTGAACATCCAGCTCGTCATTAATGCTCTCCTTAGATGTAGGAAAAAGTTGGGAGGGAAAAAAAAAGAAAAAAAATAAAAAAATGGAAAGTAAATAAAAGAGCGGGCCTATTTAAAAACCTGCTATGAAAATAATTTTTTATTTTTTAAAACAAGAAAATAAAAAAATCTATTTGGTATCGTGTTTTTAAAAAAATATTTTGGAGAATAAAAAAATAAAATATTACTCTGAAAAATAAAAAAAAAAAAACTTTTAGATATTTTGTGATTATTATTCTGGAGAACAAGAAAAAATAAAAAAATATTTATTTTTATTATTTTTTTTTGTTCTCAGAATATGTTCTATAAAATACCAATTCTTAAAATAATAAAATAAAAATAGTTTCAAATAATCCCATAGTCACAAGTATAAATTGGTCCAAATAATCTATACAAAGATAAAAATGGACTTTTTTCGGATTGAATTTGATAGCTTGTGAATCAAATCGACTGACTTTAGTAGTTTGGGATTGGCTTTTTTAACTCATATTATTCATAAAAATTAAAAAATAAAAATGGAGAAAAAGTTTTGAAAGGAAAATTCAGTGGTCTTGCCTATTGTTTTTCTTCCTCCATTTCCTTCTTCCCCTTTTTTTCTTTCCTTCTCATACAGGAGAAAAGTTTTTCTCTTGTTTTCTTCCCCAGTTTTCTTTCTTTTTGACCTTTCCCTATCTAAACAAAGCTTAAATTTTAAAATCACTACCATTGGTGCTTTTGAATTATTTTTAATTGTTTATAAGTATTTTCATGTTTTTTTTTTCTCCTTAAGATATAATAAGTATGTTCTTGTTGAAAGCATTTCTCCGCAAAATTTGGTTGGCAAGCCCAAATATCTTATATGAGTTGAGGCCCATAAACATTATTTATACTTTTACAGAGCCAACTCTTATCAAGTCTTAGGATGGAGCCCACAAATCCATATTTATTTTGATTTTTTTTCAAAATATAAAATTTATAAACACATGATATATAAATTATAATTATAATATCTCTATAGCCCAAAAAAATTACTTCATTTTATCATCAGTATTTTTAATATAACACTTCTATTATCATTAATAAAAATTTTAAGATAACATGATAAACTAACAATCAATCATCAGTATCTAAAGTCGAAAATATAGGTCGGATTATATGGGTTGACTAGAATAATCAATCATAAGAGTTGAGTTAGGTTTGAAAAAACTAACCCAAATAAAAATAAATTTTTTCTAACTCAAGCCATATAACTTGTGAACCATATAGGTTAATCCTGATGGGTTAAGATTAGATCATTTAATTCATATTATTTTTTAAAAAATTAAAAAATGAAAAAAGGAGAAAATTTTGTAAATATAAATCATATTAGATATGACTTATTTAACTGTATTAATTTATATATTTTGTATAAATATTATAAATTAATATTTTGATATATTTAGAATGAATCATAAAAAATATCAAATTGAAACTTATAATTTAAGTAGAGTTGGTAAGTTAACTTATTTAACTCGACAATCTTTAAGGATTGGACTGGATTAAAATTTTTTTAACCTATATAAAAATAGATTGAACCCAACTTAATTTATATAAGCCAACTCATATAGACTTGGTTGGCCCATATTTCACATCTATCAATATCAATAAAAATTAACAATTTTTTTATAAGATTTTAATAATAAGAAGCACATTAAAAATATTGGGGATTTTTTAAAAATTGTAAGAAGTGTAAAATTTGTCAAATTAAATACAATTATAAAAATTAAATTTCAAATCTTAAATTATGATTGTAATTTTATAATTGCCCAGAAAACTGCCAGGCTTCCGAGAGAAGCTAGAGGCTGACATTGACTACTTCAGTTCGCCCCAAAATCTGGTGCTTAGGGTTTCAAAATCCCCGCCAACTCTCTCTCTCTCTCTCTACAATGACGGTAGAGGACCAGAGCTCGGTAACCCCTGCACCAGTTCCAACACGCGGCGTCAAAGTCGCTGAGACTGGCTCCTGCCACCCTCCAACGGCGCCGTCACCTGGTAATCCAAACCCTACTGACACTTCTCCGCCGAAGCCATCCAGCCCCAGAGATTTCATCGTTTCTGTTGCCTCCAATATCGCTTCCCAGTCTCTACAGAACTTCGATCCTGGCGTTTGGGGCGTCCTTACTGCTATTTCTAACAATGCTCGTAAAAGGCAACAGGTTGTACGACCCCATTACTCTTACTCGCACCAGCTTCTCATTCTGGTTAATCGTTTATTCTTTATTCAACATATTTTAATTTTTAATTTGGCTGTTCTAAAAGGTTCTGTATTTTCGTTGGACTTGTGGAAGGTTGCAGTAAAGTTTTCATGATCATATTAGCCTGCCATTATGGAGATTATATTGTGTTTTGTAATTGTGAAGTTGGCCATTCGTTTTTTTTTTTTTTTACTCTCGTGTCAATCAGAATGGTCAAGTGATTATTTGAAGAAAGAAAGAAGGTTCGTCTTTGTGGGTCTTCTCAAGAGCTTACATATACAGTAAATGCAAGTGAGAAGTAGATTTCTCATTTGGTCTGTTTGCTTCGAGGGAGGGGAGATTCGATATAAAATAATTGAGAATTGGAATTGAAAATTGTTAATTGATTTTCCTTAGTCTTTTCCTTTTCATTATCTCTATTAAAATTATATAACCCCATTAGTCCATTTTTTAAAATTAAATTCATTAAAATTTTTCCTCCATTTCCCTCCATAAGCTTTTCCTTGAAAAGATGAATAGGTGGAAGTAAAACTCACTGAAACCATTAGGAGGTTGTCATATTTGAAGTATTTCCGTAAATTGTTTAAAAGTTGTACAAGCTTTGAATGTCATTAACATCTTGATTCAACTGTGCTATATTGTGAGACAAAATGTCTCTGAGCTTCACGAACAAAGTGTTTTTAGGGTCTTAACCCTGGCGTTTTGAGTTCGTGCTTCTGTCACGTTTAGCCTATAGTTTTAATGCTTAGTTTTTATTTGGTCAACTATTTACTATTCTTGCGCATTTTATCTGATTGAAAGTCTGTAAGCAGGGTATCAATATATTATTAACTGCCAATGAGCACTGTATTGGGCGTTTGGTAGAGGACGTGCGTTTTCAGATTGATTCGACTGCTGTTAGTGCTAAACATTGCTTAATATACAGAACAGAAAGCACTAATGAAAAAATGGAGAGCATGACATCAATTTGGTTGAAAGATACGAGGTGATTTTAATATCCTGCATCCCCCTCCCCTTTGTAACCAAAAGGAAGAACATGGTTTTTCTTTCTTCTTATATTTTGATTCTTGCAAAGCCTTGTTCAGCACAAATGGAACTTATCTCAACTGGGAGAGGCTTAAAAAGAATAGTACTGCTGTCAAAGTCTGTCATGGAGATATCATATCATTCGCTGCTCCTCCTCAGCATGGTACCAAGAATTCCTTCCATTGGATTGATATTTCCATTTTTTTAACCTATTAGTCTTCCAATATTCTCAGTGTTTGTAACTTCTATTTTTGGCTATTTTTTGAGTTTTTGCATGCTGGCCCACTGCTTTTAGTATATTCAATGTTTTAGTTTCCTTTAATTATAAATTATTTCCTGAAAAAAATATTTATTAGCCTTTGGATTTAAGATCTTGTTCTTTGTTTCTCTATTTCACCTGTTAATGCAATTTTCTTGTTACATGTTGAGAAATATCTGCTTGTAGAAATTTGTTGCCTTTGGTGGTCTGCCTTTATTTATTTGTCTATTTATTTTTTTGGTGAGGCATAGAGAGTATAGTCTTCCTTTGGTCTGTATATTAGCGAGACTTTGGGCGGTGTGTGTGTTCTCTTTCTTAATTATTGAAGGTTCTGTTTTATCATGCAGAAATTGCATTTGCTTTTGTATTTCGAGAGGTGCTCAAGTCTGCTGCTTGGCTGGATAACGGGGCTGCTAAAAGAAAAGCAGGTAATGTCATGCTCTGGGGCACAAATATTCATTCAATTCATTCTTGCATTTTTCTTTGCACTATGCTTCAAGATTCAGTGCTGGCTCTTTGTTGGATATCTGATCAGATGTCAGGTAAGGCAAAAGAAAATGGAGAATAATCTTTGCTAGTAATTTTTCGAAAGAATTCCAATTACATATTTATAATTCAAGATATTTTAAACCAGGACTACCTATTCATGAACTAAGGCCACACATAACTTTCAATTACTAGACACATGGCTGATAAATTAACTGACACGTGCTTAACGCCAGACTCATACACTAACTCCTTGAATTAAGCATAATGGCATATATGCTTCAATCACGCCAGAAGTGTGTAACGAAGTTAACCTCTTAAACAGGGATGGATCCAGGGGAAAATTTTCAGGGAGGGGAGCATGTGGAAAAAATTATAATTATTCATAATTATTAAAAATATTATTTTAAATGTTTATTGCATCAATATAATAATATACAACAACAAGTCTTATCTCACTAGGTGGGTTGGGCTATGTGGATTATATGACACTATTGTATTTTATCATTAACTAAGCTTTTAATTTACAAAAATTGTAGAATAATATCCCATCATGCAACATCTATCAAATATGCATATAATATACATAATATTCTCTTTATATAAAGGAGATGTGAAAAAACGTTGGAAAAACCTTTTTTTTTTTCCACAGAAAATTTTCAGGCTTGCTACATTAAGTTATATTGACTTAGCTTATAGGTTGGTCAAGGCTCAAATTTTGGATCATGACACATTATAATAATAATAATAAAAAATTAATCCATTTCTTAATCTTCGTGTGACACATGGACTAACATGAGTTATAATAACACAATTAGAAAATTATAATAACATCATAATGAATATAATTATCTTAATGTAAAAGTGCTGTATGTTAGCAGCGATATGATATTGTTTGGGATTACCATGTTACAAACAAAAAAATATTTGGCACTAAGATTATATTCGTTGGTTTAAAATTCTTCTACAATTTCTATACTCTTTATTTTGAATGAAACTACATGGACTGCATGGGCACTGGGTTCAAGATTGTTGTTTGCCACATGCCAAAAGTTTAAAGGGGCCGAACTGTAAATTTAAAGAGAGCAAGGGCTATTACTTGTAAATATATAACAAATATATTTACTTGGAATTGGTTCTTAATTGAATATTATTCTTCTATAATTTTTATAGTGTTAACTGATTTTATTGTAAAGAGAATGATTTTAAATATTGCAAGTAATAATTAAAAATGTGAAGCCTTGTGAATTGATCTCATATTCTATCAATTATCGGTGCTATGCAAAGTAATGGAGGCCAGCTGACTGGTGACTCAATGGTCTCATATTATGGCTGAAACTGGATGGGCACTAGGTTCAAGATTGCTGTTTGCCTTGTGCCAAAAAGTGAATGGGGGGCGAACTGTAAATTTAAAGGGGGCAAAGGCTATCACATATATATAGCATACATATCAATGGATTTTTTTTTTTTTGGCCTTGGGGGGTTGGGGGATGCCTCTTGAGTACCAAACCTAGTTCCTTCCCTGCTCTTTAATGAACCCCTTTCATGCTTCTGCATCGCCAGTTCAAACTCTGCTATCAGTTTTAGCATGTTTTCTTCTGCTATATGTTATTTTAGGATGCAGGTGACCTGGCATGCTATCATCTCTATCAGTTTAAAGTTTCACATCCTTGATAAAATTCATGGTTTGCTGTGCCGATGTGTGATAGGACATGATTATAAAGTTATGCTTTATGCAATCTGCTTGATAATCAGGAAATGAGACTTAAATTTATTTTACATTGATACATATTTTTTGTCGTTTAACTTTTCTATGCCTTTCATGTTCTTTGTTCTTCTATTTGAATATGTAGAGGAATTTGTTTCTGAAAATAAGAGATTAAAAGGTTTAGGAATCGGTGCTCCTGAGGGTCCCATATCACTTGATGATTTTCGAAGCCTCCAAAGATCAAACACGGTGGGTTTGATTTGGAATAATTAGTGTTAAGGAGTGGTGCACCACTTTTTCTTTAATGTTATCCAGTATTGTTGCAGGAACTGAGAAAGCAGTTAGAAAGTCAGCTTGTTTTAATTGAGACTTTGCGTAATGAATATCGTGCAGCTGTTGAGCAACATGGAAGTGTACGTTATTGTTAGTTCCTTTTACCTCTCTGTCTGCTTGTTTCATAAGCTACATGCATTATGTTTAGCAACTATCCATGTGTTGCATGGATTCTAGAAGTGCTTGATTTTTATTTCTACCTTTTCTTCTATGTATTTAAGCTACAATATGAGCTGAGTTTATGTTCCATTCTTCAGGAATTAAAATCAGTCAAAGAGTCCATTGAGAAATCTTACCTTGATCAATTGCAAGAATTACAGCACATGGTGGATCTCAAACAGAAGGAACTAGGTGAAATCAACAGAGTTTCTGCTGAACAGAAACATATTATGGAAGACTTGAATGAAAGGCTCAATGCCTCTATGCAGTCGTGTACTGAAGCAAATGCCATAATAAATAGGTATATTCTATTTTATTCCCATGGTTTTAGTATTTAATAATTCTTAGTAGTGGTTTCTTTTTAAGTGGATTGATCATATATGTAATATGGCAAGATTTAAGATGTCATTAACTGCAGTTATATCTACCTGTGACTGAATAATTTTTATGTTGGTAATGTTCTGGATGATATGGAATTGGTTTCTATCTTTAAATCTTGTTATAGTAGTCTATTAAAATGACATTGAGTTAGTACTGGGATACGTTTTATTCTTTACGTTGGCTTAGAACATAGGGGATATGAGAATTCCCACTGTATAAGGAGCTGACTTTTCCTTAAAAACATTATTGGTTCTGGACTTTATGATAGTGTTGACCTATGAGATAAATAAAGGTGCTGAAACTGCTGGGCACCAAGTTAAGGTTTGCTTCTATCTTGATTTTTGAACTACAAGAGGCAAAATATTGGAATGCTTTTTACAGAGATCACTGTGCAGCCCCTTTTTTGTGAATTTCTTTCCGGATGGTAGGTAAGAAGTATTAAAGAGATAACAGTAAAATGTTTCATTTGAGGCATTTTCCATGCAAATGAAGTTAGGTCATAGTTATTAATATCATGTAGTGCAGTTGTAGCTCCAAAGGTTCTAGAATGATATAGTGGATAATGTTGTGCATTCTTCATGAAAATGTAGTGCACAATTTAAAACAAATTCATAATTTAATGGTTAGTGACTGATTGTGGATTATTGAAAATTTAATTTTTGGAATTATTTTCTGTTGTATTCTGTTACAATCATCTGATAAATACTCTAACTATTCCAGAGTTTGTAGCATCTGATCTAAGAACATAAAAATCAAGGAAATTAATTCAGCCATGCTTGTGTATAAATAAGAGAATTCGGATGAATTGAAATGACCAGTCCCCATTTATGTGCCTTGAATATCACAGGCATCAAAATATTTCATTCATCAAATCTGATTACAAGTGCTGACAAATGGCTGTTTATAAAGCCAGATTTCCTTGTCAGGAAGGAACGCCAAAGATAATATCCTAAAGTTTTCTAGTTTCCTTCTCATGAAGGAAACAATCAAAATATTAGAAAATAACACTAAAAAGCGTAAAATATTATGCCACTTGCTGAAAAAACACATGTAATAATTAAAGAACCGTAATTTTTTTCCCCTTATAATACATTTTTCCATACCTTCTATCAGAAACTCCAGATTCATTGTTGGTCATCTTCCTCTGATGGCATCATTACCCTCAGATTGAATGTCAATTTGAGTGGGACCTCAAGCTCTCCTACTTTGCTCATGGCGAGGGAATATAAGTGGAACTTCACCTGAAATCTCTGGAGAACTTCATGCTATTCGTTTCTCTCTCGTTATGGATAGTATTTACCATTATGAGAAATATTTGAGAGGAAAGTATTCACAAAAAGACAATTCAATCTCAGTACATTTGGGTATTTAAAATAACCCAATATTCCCTCAGTTATTACTAACGTGCCATTGTGTTTTTACAACTAAAAACTGTTGTCGGTACTAACAGAAAGAGGTCCCATATCAGTATTATCAAATCAGTACATAACAGTTTCTCTTTAATCACTGTTTACTCAAGCGTGCTGGGCATTTGGTATATGAAACTCACGGAATAATTAGAAACTGCCATGGTTTTTTGCAGCTATAATTATTGGAAAAAGAATAAAATGGATTTTGAATTGTTTGTCATGTGACAAATGCTGTTTAATCCTTCCCACTTAACTGCAACAGGAGTTGATGATTGATTTTTTTTCAAAACCATATCGGTGAATTTTAAGTTTTTAAATTTGGTGTGCTGAACTTAAAATTTCCCTAAAAAGTTGTGAGAAGTAAACTATATTTTACCCTTCTGTGTATCTCTATACTCATGTGTGCTTTCGTTTCTTGTGTTTATGCATCATGTACTTAAAATCAGTCTCCAGTTCCCAGGTATCAAGGCTTTGTATATTCTGTATGTTTTTTTGGCAAATTTTGACTGCTCTTAGGATGGTGGAATTATATTGTAGCTTGTTTTCCCTTATTGTCTGTTATAGCTAAAATTGCCCCCTTTTTTTTTTCTTTTTTAATCGCTCATAGATATCCTCTTATAGGAGGCAAGGTACTTAAAATTGCTAATTAATTGTTGGACAACACCCTAATAGTCTCCTTTTCTTTACAGTCAAAACGTAAATATAGCTGAACTCAAGGAACAATTACATGAAGAGCAGAGTCAGCGAAAAGAAGAGCGAGAAAAGGCTGCAGCTGATCTGAAAGCTGTTGTACATAGAGTTCAATCGGAGGCTCAGGAGGAATTGAAACGATTCTCTGATGATGCCTTAAGACGGGAAAGGGAGTTACAAGAATTGATAAAGAAGCTTCAGGTTCTAGATTTTTTAGCTAAATCAGTTAGGAATTCTTCTGTGTTATTAGGACACAAATTGTCATCTAATATTCAATTGCAGGAGTCGGAAAGGGAAAGGTGTTTGCTGGTGGAAACCTTGAGATCCAAGCTGGTACGATTGCCATTTTGCTTCAGTTAGCCTAAGTCAGTTTTTTCTAATGTCTGAACATTCGATTTTTTTTTTCACCTTTTTTCATTCTCTGCTTTACAGGAGGATACCAGGCAAAAGTTGGTTGCCTCTGATAATAAAGTTCGGCAGTTGGAAGCTCAAGTACATGATGAGCAGCTTGCCTCTGCAAATCATATAAAGGCAATTTGATCATTTAAAATTCAGTATCTTATTTCTTTGCAACAATTTGTTTGATATTTAGATGCAACTACATGCTGATACATTTTGTTATGGTGAATGTTAGATCAGAGGGTAGAAGAACTTGAGCAGGAAACTAGAAGATTAAAGAAAGAGCTTCAGAGTGAAAAGGTAGAGACGAGAAGTTAATGTAATACAGTACGAGGAATTTTTTTGATAAAAGTTTTTATTGAAAATGCATCTGCCTTGATTTCTACTAATCCTACCATTGTCAACCATTGAATCTGAAAAGTAAATATCATGATGCTTTGGGACCCATGATTCCCAAGCCACTTGTGCCTGTTGTCCTTAAAAAACAGAATCTTGTGGTTCAGTCTTGATATCTTGCCTTAGCTTTCCAGTACGTGTTTTTCCTTTCTTATCCTTTAATTACTTTGATAGCTTACTCTGAAGCCTCTTTAGTGCACTTTTTTTCAAGCTGAGATAGTTTTTGCTGTTGGTAGCAGGCAGCTCGAGAAGAAGCATGGGCTAAGGTTTCTGTTCTTGAGCTTGAGATGAATGCTGCAGCACGAGATCTTGACTTTGAGAGACGAAGGTTTAAAGCTGCCAGAGAGAAACTCATGCTTCGGTAGGGATTTTGGAGCAATGGAAATATTAATCATTGGATAACGTGAATTTGATTGAACTCAGGATTATATAGTGAATAATTCCTGCTGATAGACTTCATATATTTGCCTGCATACAATTTGGCCTTTTCCACCTACATGTTAGTTGTCAAGTCTGAGTTGAAGGACATCTGTGGCAACATTTACATGTTGCCTTGTTCTTTACTAGTACGATAGATTTTAAATTTTGCTGCTGAAGCTCTGGATAGTAGTGATTAAAGAAACTGAGGTTGTATTCTTGTCATGCAGGGAAACACAGCTACGAGCATTTTATTCAACAACTGAGGAGATACAAGTACTGTTTGCTAAGCAACAGGAACAATTGAAAGCAATGCAGAGAACTTTAGAAGATGAAGAGAATTATGAGAATGCTTCTATTGACATGGATGGAGTCATTGGTGGGACGTCAGGTCAAGGAAATGAAGTCGCAGCATACCACAGTAAAATTTCTGCCAAGGCTGGATCAACGTCTTCTGCACAGAAGCATATTGAAGAACAAGTTGAAACATCCAGCAATGAAGCCAGTGTCACCGAGAAGCATGACTGTGACATCAGAAGTGACGAATGCCAAGATACACAAGAGGCAGAATTTACCAGTGCAGATCACGACCATGGTGCCAAAGGTGGCTTTGGTTCTGACATTGATGGTGCTGGCACTTTGAAGGAAGGAGATGCTGTTGACACTGAACGAGTTCTTGAAACTCAAAGTCCTGCCAATTACAGTGAGCAAAAAGTTGATCTGAACAAGGATGCTGTTTTAGTTGGGGACACCATGCAGTTTGATGATGACATGAATGTTCAAGAAACTGAGGAGCAAGGTCAAACAACTTGTCGGGAAGTTCCTGTGGACACACAAAAGACCATTGAGGACACTGAGGCTGGGGGAACAATCAGGACTGCAGATCTTCTAGCTTCTGAAGTTGCTGGGAGCTGGGCTTGCAGCACAGCCCCTTCTGTACATGGAGAAAATGATTCTCCCGGAAGCAGGGACAACAATGAAGGTGCTGGGGATGATTCGATTCATCCGATGGCTGAGAGTCAGAATGCTCCTGATGCTACTAAATGGAATTCTGAACTCCGAGCACTTAGTGAGATGATTGGCATTGTTGCTCCTGATTTGAGGGAGCATTTTGAAGGTTCTGCGAATGATTGTGATCAAAAGAAAGAAAAGGGTGGTATTCGGTCTGACTCAGATACTCAAGCTGCAGAAACACTGGCAATGATGCTCAAATCAAAAAGTGGATCAGCATCTGATGCAGAAACTAAAGGTAATAACCATGTTGAGGAGGAGGAAGATTCTGAAGCCACTCAAGACAATAATCCCATGGATGAAGATTCTGAAGCCACTCAAGATGATCTTCTTGAGTAGTGGGTAGTCTTGGCTTGGCTTAGTTTGATTGAAATTTTTCTTTGGGGTTCACTACAGATACCCATCTGTACATGGAACATTCAGGATTGCTTTCAAACATGAGCCCGTGCATGTAGGTGCAATCCGGTATGTTTCATGGGATGCATGCTTGGGGCCTATTAGAGGATTCATGAAGTGTTTCACTTGGGCCGCGAATCCCTGAAGCTATCTGTTTTGAGCCTTCTTATCTATCTATTCCTTTTCTGTCCACCCTCTCTCTGGTTTGTGCTTGTTAGGGTATCATATTGTATATACTTAGCTGACTTGTCAATATTTAGCTATAGGTGGAATTGTAGTTCTAGCCCGTGGTTTAAGTAATTTAATCGTTGTAGTTTCTATTAGGATATACATATATATTGATAAAGTCTCTTAGGATAGTTTTAGTCTTGTGATGTATTTATTAGGAAAGTTTATTCTTAAATTTCATTTTCAACATGGTTTTGCATGTGGTTTAACACCGATGCTCTCCATTCCTTTCAATTCCAAAAGCGACCAAAATTTTGGCGCCAAACGAGAAACCAAACCTATAATGTGAGCACATCGCTTGAGCAGGTCTATACTTACACTTGGTAGAGTCCACTGCCCCATAGTCATTGCTTAAACATGGATGGTTTAGCCCCCAAGAATCTACGTAGTAAAATTTTCCTTTTTCTTTCTTTTTTCCCTCTTGACATGAAGATTTTTGGGAGAATGACAGTAAAATGTCAAAAGTTCAAAATGACAAATATCACTAATGTCAACTCGAAATTTCAAACAAATGCAAATAGAAATTTTGGATATCATTTGAGAGTTATATTTAGATTTTAAATATTTTATTTATAGTTGAAATTTTCTGAATTTGTAATTATTTAAATTAATATTTGTAAGTTATTTTTCAAAAAAGTTTATCAAAAACTTAAATGTCATTAATTTTTTTTTGAAGGCTTAATTGTCATTCTATCAAGATCTTTAATTGTAAGATGATGAAAATTATAAAAAAAGGAAAATCACAATCAAGGACCTTTAGAGTATCTTATTTGTAGAAAAAAGATTAAAAGATTTTGAAATTACTCATACAGAGCTAATAGATTAAAAAGTAATTAAAATTTAGTGTAAAAAGACAAAATTACATCTCATTCTTTTTCTTAAAAAAAAAAATTCCCCTGCTTACCACTTGTTGCAAGACCATCGTTGGGGTTTCGATTGTAGCCGCCGATGAAATTATTATTATTATTACTATTTTTAAGATGATGGGTGAGGTTTGAACTCACAATTCTTGGCCACTTAAAAAACTTGTTAGCCACTAAGTAAAGCCTTGCAATCATATGCAAACTTTCATATATATTATAAACTTCATTTTCACATTACAAATCAATACTTGTAAGAGCATAATTGTTACTTATTATTTCATAAATAGCCACTTGTTAAATTATTAATTGCACTTATTAAAAAAATTAATATGCATTGATTTTTATAAATATTTACCTGTTTATCAAAAGTTTATGGTCAAAACCTTATGTGAACTTGTTGTTTAATTAAAATTTACTTGTTAAATTACTGAAAAAAATTTTAAAGTTAATAATGGGATTTGTCATGTCATAAATAATTACTTGTTAAATTGCTAACTAGAACTTGTTTTAAAAAATTAATATGCACTGGTTATTATAAGTGTTTAATTTTTTTAATTATCAAAAATTTACTTGTCACATGGTTATGTGAATTTGTTATTTTACTAAAATTTAGTTGTCATTGTTGAGGAAAATTTTCAAAGTTAATAATGAGACTTGTCATTTTACAAATAATTATTTATTAAATTACTAATAAAAACTTATTAAAAAATTAGTATGTATTAATTTTTATAAATATTTACTTATTTTTATTATCAAAAGTTTACTTGTCAAAAGTTCATGTGAACTTATTATTATACTAAAATTTATATGTCAAATTATTAAATTTTTTTTTAAAATTAATAATGAGACTTGTTATTTTATATATGATTGCTTGTTAAATTATTAATTGGAACTTGTTAAAAAATTTAATTTTTACCATTTTTTATAAATGTTTTCTAAAATAATTTGACAAGTAAATTTTGAAAAAATAATAAGTTAATGTAGGCTTTTGACAAGTAAACTTCTAGTAATAAAAACAATAAAATTTTATAAAAATGTGTGAAAATTAAATTTTTTTAATAAGTTTCCATTATTAATTTAAGCAGTAATCATTTATGAAATGATAAGTTTCATTATTAAATTTAAAAATTTTTTTTAATAATTTGACAAGTAACTTTGAGTAAAATAACAATTTCAAGTAAACTTTTAATAATAAAAATAAGTAAATATTTATAAAAATTAATGAAAAATAAAATTTTTTAACAAGTCTCTATTAGTAATTTAATATGTTATCATTTATGACAACAAGTTTTGTTAGTAACTTTGAAAATTTTTCTTAATAATTTGATAAGTAAATTTTAATAAAATATCAAATTTACATAAACAGTTGACAATAAAAAAAGGTAAACATTTATAAAAATAAGTGCATATTAAATTTTTAACAACTTTCATTAATAATTTAACAAGTTGTCATTTATGAAATGACAAGTAATCATTAAGTTTTGATAAGTATTGACTTAAAATTTAAAAATAAAGTTTATTAAATATATAAGGATTTGTATTATATAACTAAGAGGCATTGCTAGCCTAAAACTAGCAATCCATTCATAGATAACTAGATTATGATTTTGCCTATAAAGAAACCCAAGTGGACTGATAACTAGGGTCTCATTTTCTAATAGGTCATAGATGACACTTCCCAAACCTCGTTACTTAGTAGTAATTATTCTTTATTTTATAGAAACTATAAAATTTTCTATTTACAATGTTGTTTTTTATTTTCTTTTTTATTCCATTGTTTTTTTTTGTAGTAACAAACATTCATTATTTAATATGACTAATCAATTCAGATTCAAATTTGATTGATAAGCAGCTTCCCGAATGAAACAAACCATTTTGGCATTTGCCTCAGGAATGTTAAGTCCCTTTCTACTCATCACTAAATGTTCTTGACAATTTATATTTTATAAGGAAAATAAAAAATTAAATTAATACAAAAATAGAACAAGCCCAAAACAAAACAAACACAAAAATGACCCACTAACCCACATCCCAAAAAAAAAAAAGTTGACACAGGACTTGAGTTCAAATTAGTGATAGTTTAGTATTAGCAAAAAACTTATTAATATATTAATCCGAATTGAGAATTTAAATCTGCTGCCACATTATTCATTGGATACACATCATCATCATCATCATCATCATCATCATGATTCATGACCCTTGCAAGAATAGAAGAAGTTGGTGATTCAGATATTCGAATCCAAGTGAGATAGACAAATGAGAATAATGGTTGAGCTACAAGGAGAGGAACAAAAGTCCATCACTATTCTATTTCATAATGAGAATATTTCTGCATTTTGTACACTTAGTGGGTCATCTACATCTAACAGTAATCCAACCCTCTTGTTTCCTTTGTTTTTTTTTTCTCCCTCTAATATTTCTATGATCTTCCATGAGTTCAATTTCAACTTCATCAATTTGTAATCATATTTCATGTAGTAGAAAGTTTCTTTATTAGGATCTGAATGAATCAAATTAATCGTAAACAACACACACACACACATGTTAGTTATAAATATATATGCTATAGATGATTTATATTTATACATCTCTTCTCAATTAATTAATTTGAGAACATCTGAAAATAAATAGTAACGAGCAATTGATTCGCCATACTGTAGCATTGGGCTTGTCTAAAAGAACTTCTGATTTCCCAAACAGTATCAGATTCCGAAGATCTCATGTGTCCAGACAGAAAATGCAAGCAAAGATTTAATTGTTCAAAATCACGTCTCATGAAGATAATTATGGCAAGTTAAAGGAGAAATATATAAGTAAATTTTATCTGCACAACATAGATAAATTAAGCTAATAAAAAAAAAGGAGTCATGTCAGTGTTAAGGTTCCAAAAGAGTATCAAACATCGGAGAAATTTATCAGGTCTTTTAATTTCTTGATTAAACTTTGGCAAGAACTATACATGAGCAGGTTGACATTACGTTTTGACACACAGACACACAGACACACACACTTTCTCATATCCTATATATAACTCATTTTAATTAGCTCGTAAAATTTAAAAAAGGATAGTTAAATTATTGGTAATCTTAAAAGGAAGGAATTTTTTAGTTTACCTATATTAAATCCATCATCTTTTAAAAATTATTTTTCCTTCATATGTTCTACTCATATAGAAAATTACGAAAGGATAAAATTAAAAAAAATAATTAATGATTCATCTTTTTATACAAAGTGACTTGTATATAAAAAAAGGACCATTTGATTTTTCTAAGAGGTGATTTATATATATAGGACAAGAACAAGTATATATTTTCTAGATAATTCTACCTAATTAACTTCCTACCCCTAACTCTCACCATCAAATAAATGAATTTTGTTGTGAAGAAAGATGAGAGAGATGTAAAAGTTTGTGGAAGCAGAAGGAGAAGAAGAAGCCGCCAAGGGATATAATGATGAAGAGGAGGAAGTTAAGGAAGGTTGAAGAAGATGGCAATGAATTGCAGTGGATATCATAATTGAGTGGCAGAGAGAAATATATATATATATATATATATTTCATATTTGTGATTTCAAGTTTCAGAGAGATGAGATGAGAAGGACCACAAGCTATATGGTTGATGGTGAGATATGCATGTCAATGACTCCACAGTGAATTTCAGACTGTTTCTGCTATCCAACTCACTTCAACTCACTATCTCTGTTTGCTTTCTCCACAATCACCGGGAATTGGCTTCTCTCCAATTCTTTTTTCTTAATTTCCTCTTCATTTTTCATCTTAACCCTTAGATTAAATTTTAAATGGTTAGGATTTAACATTTTATAAAAATATTTTTCATTTTTTTATTAAAATCATAAATCTTGAATTATAGTTTAGATTAATTTTGTTATTTTTATCAATTTATTTATTTATTTTTCATAATTTTACATTTTATTAATATTAATTTTAAGAAATATTAAATTTTAACCATTCAAAATTTGATCTGGTGGTTGAGTTGAGAAGTGAAGTGGAGAGAAGTCAACTCCGATTCATCGCTGCCCTGATTCTATTCTATGTAATAATATTTTCAATAACCCTTGTTAATTAGTTTTATGCTTAATTTGCATGGAGTCTGAGAAATTATAATACTTTATCTGTTAAAGTATATAAGATATTTTTAATTAAATTATATCTCCAATATGTATATTAGTTAATTGTCTTTAAATTAACACCACTTTTTTTATATTTTCTC